CCCTTCAAACAAACACCCCCACACGCACCCCTCAAACAAACACCGCCCCCCACACCCCTCAAACACACACCCCCCACAAACACCGCCCCCCACACGCACCTCAAACAAACACACACACCACTCAAACAAACCCCACACACACACCCCACACATACCCCTCAAACGAACACCCCACCTACCCACACCCCACACGCACCCCTCAAACAAACACACAAAAGTAATAGGGAAAGATCCCGGTGATGCACAGCTGGCTAGTACCTGATCCATGGAGGCACGTGCTTTTGCATCAGTGACAGGGTGGGTCCTCTGCTTCCACATAACAAAAGACAAATTACACAGCGGTGCATGGATCAGCTGAATTCCATTGCTGCAAAAAGTAATAGGGAAAGATGCAGACCCGCAGTGCCGTTTGCTGCATGATCCATATGTTATCTTGAGTGTGTATGTTTGGATCACTGGAACGGTGTACTCTGATTTTGTATGACAAAAGACAAATTACGCACGGTTATGTTTATCAGCTAATTTCACCACCTTCTGGCCCCAAAAATGAGATGCGTACAGAGGGATGTCAAGAAGAGGGGGATAATTAAACTAGGATCCCAAGCTCAGGACAGCCCCAAAACATCTTGCGGGGGAAAGGGGATGGGGCCCTAAATTTCTCTCAACAGGCCTGTGTACACATCTAAACACACATGCTACTGTTTGCTGTCTAATACTTATCTTAGCTGTGCATGTGTTGTAGAAAAGAACATCATCTTGCTATCTGATCCATGCTGCCAGACCCTCCTCCTAGCTGCCCAAGGCACCGTTGGGTTGCAAAGTTATTCTGGAAAATCAACAAACATTAGTTTACATTGTTTAGTTTCAGCAAATAGCCTAGAGTGTCAGTGCTCCGTAGAAGCCACAGTGGAAGGTGAAAACAATTTCATGCCAATAAATATCATGTTTTTTTGTTAAAATTAACAGCTTTATAGTCTCCTTATCTAGACTTATATAAGCACAATAAACAACTAGTATAAAAATAGTTCCTTTCCTTGCTGTAATAATCTAAGCACATATTACATTTCCCCACTTGTGCTCAGTATAATGAAGCCATATATTAGGCCCAGTTTTGCTGATCATGGTCAGGCCAATTTTTAGTTGTCTTACTACACTGCTATTAGAGCTGCTTGGAAAGTGGAATTTCCATTCCACAGGAAATTCTGACATTTCAAAATTTGTTTTTGTACAGAATCAGAATGAAAATTTCCAGCAAAATTGAAATGTCAGAAAGTCCCAATTTACGTTGATAATGTTCTTTTTACAAAATATATGTCAAAACATGTCATTTCATGAAGTAAAGACATGTAGTTTAGACATTTATATGAAAATATTAACTATAATATGTTATATACTATTAGATCAAAATAATAAAATGAATATTTTCATACAAGTCAAAACAAAATTAATTGAAATGATAAAGTACAAATTAAATGTTTTCCCTTATATAAATATTTCAACATCAAAATAAAAAAGTCAAAACAATTCATTTAAATTTTTCCCTGTCAAAAATGTTGACAGTCATGGTCCCACAGAACATTTAGATTTTGATAAACATTGCATTTATTTACGGAAAACCTCATCTGTTGAAGTTTTTTAATCCACCTCTATTTTTTTTTAAATAAAATTAAACTGAAAATGTGGAATGAAGCTTACAGATATAGCTAAGATAAATGCTTTCTAACCTCAGCGGTAGACATAGCTTTTTGCTACCCATTTTTGGTAGCTTTACCTATAATTCTGTATGTTGTTAGATATTTGTACCAACAATGAGTTGTCAATGCAATAACCACTGAAAATATTTTAAAATAAATCTATATTGGCACTTTTACATGGCTTCTTCTGTTCCATGTGCGCTGTGCACAAACCTGCATTCCTTATTCAGGTTAAATGCCTACTGAAGTCAATAGGATTTTTTTCACCTGAGCAAGAAATGGAAGATCAGTCCCATTAATTATCCAATTATGTTTCAGAATCATTACCAGGTATATCCTGCACCTTGCCTCTGCAGTTATGAAGTGCCCCTGGCAGCAAAACTGGGATGCTTTTGCTGCACAACATGGTGGCAGGATGGGGATGCTAGCTGAAAACCTTGGCCGCTTCTTGCACATCAAAACATAGGGGGCATGATCATCTGCTTTTAATATGTTAAGGGCTGTTCTAAAGAAGACGGGGACCACTTGTTCACTGTGTCTCCTGAAGGTAGCACAAGTAGTAATAGGCTTAATCTGCAGCAAGGGAGATTTAAGTTAGATATTAGGAAAAACTTGCTAACTGTAAGGATAGTTAAGCACTGGAATAGGCTTCCAAGGGAGGTTTTGGAATTCCCAGCATTGAAGGTTTTTAAGAACAGGTTAGACAAACACTGGTCAGGCATGGCCTAGGTTTATTTGGCCCTGCCTCACTGCAGGGGGCTGGACTTGATCTTGTAAGGACCCTTCCAGCCCTACATTTCTATAATGAACTGTTGTACTTAAAGTACTGCACAGGATCTTTTTAGGGGGAATAAGGCAGAAC